TTTTTTTTTTAAATTCAAATAGCATTTGGCCAATATTTTGGTTAGGAATCTCAAGTAAGCAATGAATCCATCGTATAATTACTTTATAAGTAATAATTTTTATCTTGAAATTTACACCATTCATTTGTAAAATAGCCGCATATACGATTCTAACAATAAATGAAATGGGAGATATTCCATTTACATGTCCAGACGATTATAATTACAGTTCATCGATAATCAAAACAGCATGTCGAATTCGTTTAGCAAATTTAATTTCAACGTGGGCACTTGCTGTAATTTCAATAATTTTTGTTTTAGCAGTTTTTACTAATATGTTACCTGAATCTAAAGATAAAATTAAAGCCGGTAAAGGAAATGTACCACAAAGATTTAGGAAAGACGAAAAGGAGGTTGACGAAGAACGAATTGCAATATTATAAAATAAATGTTCTTTCGTATGTGTAATTTATTTAATAATCACCTATTGGTTGATATTCTGAAAAAAAATGTGCGTTATTAATATTATATAAATTATTACTTGAGATGTGATCTTATATTTTATAATCATCATTAATTTGTCTCATATTTTCTTGTTGAGTCTAATGCTCATGGTTTAATTGATTATTATTCCCTCGTAGTATTATAGTAGGGATGGCAAAAGTTTTTATTACGTAATTAAAAACAGGCGATGATTATTATCTTTTCGTTATCGTTATATATATTTAAATCCAGATTTAACTACTGGACTACGTATTCGGACTTTAATCAACATTTATTTTAAATCGGTGAAAAAAATGTTTAAAACTGTTTTTGCCATCCCTACCGGAACAACACGAGATTATTGTAGGACACTTCTAGGACACTTCATAGAAAAGGATGAAGTTTCGTGAAACCTGTCATTTAAGATTCTTGTAAACGAATTAAACCTGAATTTTTTTACTTTGCTTACGTAAAATATACGTAAATTAAAAATAAGCCTCTGAGGCTTAGACTTCCCTAAATATTCAAAATAAAAAATTTCAAACGTACGTACGTATTTACTTGAGCATTTAAATACGTAGAAAATTTACAAATTTCAGTAATTGAAATAAATAAATATTATTTATTTATGTTTTGCATTTGTTTTGATATTTAAAAAAAAAATACATATATAGTTGATCGGTGAAGATGAGTGTTATAAGAGTCCTGAGAATTTTTGCGGCGATATTTATAAGTCTCTCTGTATTGTTTGCTTTTGCTTGTCCAGTTTTGGGTAAATATTTGCTATTTTAGAATAAATTATTTATTTATTAAAACGACTTAAATTTTAATGTCAAATCATTTATTTCTTTATCAGAAATTGTAAAAATTGTAACGTTTTTAAATATTGGTTATCCATATACATTAAACGTCCCAATGGAATATATGTGAGTCTCCCAAAATCATTCAAATCCTTATTTTATATTCTTTATCAAATTTATACAAATTTATAAATTTTTTCCTCCATCTAAATTTAGTTATTTTGTAGTATCTCTCATTCTACCATGTAAGTACTTTCTATTATTATTTATAATGTTCAAATTTATCAAATATTCTTATTTAATCTTTGTTTACAATTATTTCTGTTCATCAAAAATTAAAAGGTTGGATTTTTCTCTCGTCAGTTTTTAATTTTTGCTATAAACCGGATCTTACGATAAAGGGAATAGAATTAAAATTATTGTAATTGTTTATATGCTATATATATATATATATTGTAAATATTTGATCTCTTTTATTTAGTTACATTCTAAAATATATATTATATATTTTAATTTTAGGTTTTGGATGCTGATATGGTTATTCGTAGCAGGTAAAAAGTTCAATCTAATTATCTTTCATTAATTCTTTTATATTATTCGCATCCCACTTAATTCAAAAAAAAAAC